AAATAAAATGGCTCCTTCTGTGTTAAAATATATTTTTAACTTTTAGTTAAAAAATTTTAAAAACTAAACAGCCTACAGTATTTTTACCATCTTTATTCTACAGTTAAAATATATGTTTATTAAATAAAGTCTAATGTTACAACTAATCGGGGATCCCTTCAAAGCTAAAACCGAATGCGGGGTGAAAGTTAATGCGCATTCATTCTAATTAAATGAATTGGGCGCGACTTGACCTACCTCAAACATTTCCTCTATATCGCGAGGAGCAACGTTGTGCTGCAGAACAGAGGCCGGCAAACAACCACAGGAAAGCAGTCAGCACACAGAAAAGCCACAGAGACATAACAGACAGACATGTTACAGACAAGATCACGTTTTGACTTTAATTTAAGTTAGGATTGAACAAAAGCAGGCTATTAAATGTCGATTGGGTTGGATGTTGAGACATTTTTAGAGACGGACAAAACATTTCAAAAGCACATAAAAACAAGACGTTGACACACGTGGACGAGTCTGACGAGTTACCTCTTCTTCTTGCCGTTCTTCCGAGTCACTCTGCTTACAGTCAGGATGATGCCGCAAGAACTGGGCAACGTACGTCATCACAGATTTCTCATCTGGCTTGTCCACATCCACATCTGAGAGAAAAAACCAATCGGAAACCACGTGAAGCGGGAGTCGACTGTACATACATTTGGTTTTTTTCTCCCCCTCGGGGTGAACAATAAGAGCAGGTTTGACTGGAACAGACAAGTGGCATCTCTCAAGAAAACAATCGTCAGATTATCAGTTTGGAGATGCCGCCGTGACGAATCCCATGGCCTAATGGACCCTAATTATACCGATGTCAGGCTCGATTTGTCAGAGATCACTCTGAAGGGCAGGCGTGAAGGAGCACAGATGGTGTTTGGCGATGACACAGAGGTGCACCTCACAGATCCACGGCTGTGTTTTTACCTGGCTGCCTGCTTTCTGCTAATACCAACAGAGGTTTCTTATTCTTTTTTGGGCTGTTTCTTATTCAGAGTCACCCTCCTTCATCTCACTTCAGATTACAGCAAATTATGACAATTTAAAATGTACACTGCAAAAAATGTCCACCTAACCAAGTTTTAAAATCTTATATGCAGCCAAAAAGTCTTTTTGATCTTGTTTTGAGACTGATTTACTAAACAAGAACTGATTGTGTAAGAATAATCATCTTGTTTTCAGAATGTGTAAGGTTATTTGTCTTGTTAGTCTGGAAATTTGACTCAAATTAAGTCAAAAATTTCTGCCAATGGAGTAAAAAATTTTTACTTGGTAAGATTCTTGAAATACTTGATTTGACTCTTTTTTTCTTATTTCAAGAATCTTACCAAGTAAAATTTTCTTACTCCATTGGCAGAAATTTTTGACTTAATTTGACAAATTTTCAGACTAACAAGACAACTAATCTTACACATTCTGAAAACAAGATGATTATTCTTACACAATCAGTTCTTGTTTAGTAAATCAGTCTCAAAACAAGATCATAAAGACATTTCTTGGCTGATATAAAAATTTTAAAACTTGGTTAGATGGACAGTTTTTGCAGTGTAGGCATAAATAGCCACTGGCCACTTTATCCCATGATGCTAAATTTAATTTAAATCTAATTTAGTCACGACATCTTTAAGAGTCTGACAGTCCAGTGGACTCGGTTCATCATTTGTTACATTTTCAGCTTCGGTTTGGGATTACACCCATAGAAATTATACAGGAAATGTTGTTTTACCTTCTGGATCGAGAAGCTGCGGAATGCCTAACTCTGTCTCAGCCAACAGGAAGGCTTCTTGCAGATTTTCTCGATTGGTCCTCCTCCATATCTGCTCCATGTCAACCAGGTCAGGTCGGAGGGCGTTGATAATGGCAAAGAAAGCTAAACCGGAGCGCCAGCTGGGTCCAAAGTCCTTCACCTCAAGCCCTAAACATCTACGAACAACAGAAGATCAGAGGGTCAGCAGACAAAACGAACTTAGCGGGAATAAATTATGAACCAAAGCATTCAGAAAATGTATTTTTCCAATAATTTTTTAAGTACTTAGTGGCTGTCTGCTGAACCCATCTCAGTAGGGCCTTCCTGGCTCCGCCCTGCAGTGGAGGCAGAGGTTTTCGTTTGACGGGAGGGCTGGTGGTGTCCGTACTGCTGGTGGAGCTGTCCACAGAGGACGTGCTGCTGGACGAGGCTTGGAGCTCAGGCAGGCTGCTGGTTAGCTCTTCAATCTGCAGGGACAGGAACCCAGAAAATGTCAGGATTATTCCTTTTCATTACCCTCGCAGCCTTGTTGGGTATTCTGGGTAATTGCTGTGTGAAACATGCATGATTTAGGGCACAAATCTCAAAATGTACTGTATTCCCATACTTCAGCACATGCCTGTTTATCAGATGGGGAGTATTTATTGTTATTCAGACATAATCTACAACAAACAGAACGCAAGAAATCCGTAAATAAAACCTGTCAATATGTCTAGAGRTGATTAAAACATCTGTCAGTGTTGCAGACTTCTTTAATGTCCTGACATTTTATTTTTTTCTGTTATACATTACTTTTCATCTATCCATTTTTTCCCCCCACTTATTTATGGTTAGGTCACAGAGGCAGCAGGTCCAGGGGAAACTCAGACATTCCTCTGCCAAGCAACACTTCCCAATGAGACCTTTGAGTTTACATTAGCTGACTACACAGCTACTGAGTAAAATTCATTATAGTAGATGTTTATCTGAGAACGCTGTAGCCAAATATAAAGAATCTCTTCCATCTTTATTTTCCTCTGTCTTACAGATTAACGTAACAGAGAACAGTAACTTAGATAATCTTATTGATAATAGAACTTTAATGCAAACCTCTCTTGATGAAATTGCTCCACTAAAAAAGAAAGTTACCAATCGGAGGAAGCTGACTCCTTGGTTTAATTCAGAGTTATGTTCTTTCAAACAGGCATCTAGAAAACTGGAGAGAAAATGGCGTTCCACTAATGTTGAAGAATTTTATTTAACCAGGAGAGACGGTCTGCTAACATATAAGAAAGCCCTTCGTAAAGCTAGAACTGTATATTATTCATCTTTAATAGAGGAGAATACAAACAACGTTTTTGCATTGGATCGTCGCAGCATTTGTATAAACACCTGAAAATAGAGGATGATCGTCCACACCAACCCTAGAACAATCGAGGGCCGTCCGTCCACAATGTCTGTGGAGTTTATGTTCACCAGCTTGATCTGTTAAAACAAAAACATGGTCAGCATCATCATTTTAAGAGATAAAATTCCAGATTTGTTTTTCTGAAACACTGTGAATACTGACCGGAGATCCTCTGTAGGCAGACTGAGGGTGGATAAAAGAAGAGAACAAATGAGAGTGAGAGTTAAAAGGAAGCAGAAGAGGGGCACTCTAGATGCATTTGATCGAACACGAAACGCCTTATTGACTGCAAGATGGCAGATACTTCTCTGAGGTGATAAGAYGAGCGGTTAGCTGAGATGTATCGCCGCTGCGCAGGCAACAGGGATTATATCCAGCAGAGACCAACAGTAGAAGTGAAGTGGGGGTAGAGAGGGCTGTATCTTGTGGTATAATGAAGTGTTCTATATTATCATACACCGGGTCAGATTACTGAGACGCTGCAGCACAACAGGTCATCGTGGGACAATAACAACCACTCCATGTAGGTGAACCAGCATGGAAGAGGAGATTGGGGGCAGGCTGGGGGCGGGGCAGAGAAATGTAGGATGGTGGCTGATAAGGAAAACATGTAACACATGATTTTATATTAGAAAACGCACCAGGCCGCCCTGATAAATCAAACCAGAAGTGTGCGGATGATAAGTGGAAGGATTTGGTTCCAGTGCACCCAACTACAGGAGCAAAAAGAACATAAGGTGGCCTTCTTGTAACTGTTTTGAGTAACAGTTCTCCAGGCTTTCCGAGGTTTTTCTTCTGACTTATTTTCTGTTTAGTCTCTGTGTTTGTTCATGACATACATCTGCTTAAAAATAAAGAAGCTGGACGAGTGAAGGACTAAAGAAGCAGAAAAAAAAACATCTACATCAGATGACCGGTATCTTCGAGATCCACCTGAAAGACTTAACTGATCAGTATTTTTAGCAAATTCTCTGTTATGTGTCGACACATCCCTTGAGCTTATATATTTTTTAAAAAGTTATATTATTGTAGACTGTTGCGATAACAATCTGTTTTTTTTTTCATTACTATGTTCACACTCTTCATGTGACGGCTATTTAAATTACTAAATTTGCATTTTTTTGCATGCAGATTGTATCCACAACCTTTTGTATTTTTGGCAATTTTGATATTGTGCAATCCAGTGGCGGATCTAGGATTTTTCTGAGTAAGGGGCCACAATATTCATAGAGGGGCCAAGTATTCATTCAGCGTCCTTCCACACAAATCACTGGTTTTGGTAAGGTGTATATATTTTACCAGTCACACATTTAAACACTTGTAATGTCATTTTAAAACAGCTTGCTCTGTAAATTCTCCTTACCAATTTTACATGCATTTTACAGTACATGGATAAAATACTCTCAAACACACAACTTTTGAGATAATCCAGCCAACATTTGTGAGTTAAAATACTTTTTCTACTGGATTTTTCAAATTTTACAAAAAGAAAAATACTTCTGTCAGCTTGATTCATGCTGCGCTTTTCTATTTGGCTCATTAGCGCMTCTAGTGTTTAGACATGGAACTGCACCCAGCATCATCAATCTTGGGCAAAAGACAGATGAGTGATAGGACAGGGGCACTTCAGGGGGCCAATCAAATTTCAGCAGGGGCCAAAGCCCCTGTGGCCCCGGGCCTAGAACCGCACCTGGTGCAATCACAAATTGCAATCTCAATATAATTTGGAACAATGATTCATAAATCAAAGCTAGGTGGTTTGAAAACCAGACAACAAACAAACATTCCTCCAGTAAAACAATGACCAAAAACTGGGCTGAAACTGAGCGTGAAGGCAATAAAAAAAACTTTAAAAGACCTTCAGAAACCTGAAGATCTATTGACTGTAGGGCTGCCACAAACGATTATTTTAATAATCGATTAATCACCGATTATTTATTCGATTAGTCGACTCATCAGATCATACGTTAATTGAATATAAAACATADAGCTTATCACGTCAGAATGCAGCTGCTATTGTATAACCATGGTTAGATTTTAGCTATATGCTAACTAAAAATAATTGCTGTGGAAGGCAAGTTCTGCTCTGCAGATATTGCACAGGTTTCTCTTTCATTTTCTTAAAATGATCCCACACTTTTGAGCTCCGTTGCAGGGTAGCCATGATACCAGAGCCTGTCTGTATAATGTCTTGTGACGTCCACGGCCTACCCCAGTTACCACTACTGTGTATGTGTGTCAAGGACAGAAAGGCAGATGTGGCAGTGGAAGGTGTCAAAGCAGTTTGGAGAGAAAAACAAAGTAAAGAACAACAACAACAAAAAGAAAACGATTAATCGATTATTAAATTTGTCATTTTAATAATCAATTAGTCGTCGATTAATCGTGGCAGCCCCAATTGACTGAGAAACTTGATGAAAATGTTAAGATCATTTCACAGCAATCAGAGAAAACAGATAAAAATAAAAAAAATAGCTGCAAATTTGGGTGATTTGAGGCTGGATCATTTTCACTCACAGATAAATAAATGATTCAGACAGTTTCAAAAAGTTTTAAACATGATTTAAATATCACAAGCATTAGAGCAAAAGCTTTACACAAGCAAACATCCCTGTAATTTGAACCTATGTGTGTAAATCGGTTACGCACGGCATATTTTGTCACACATACACGTCCATAAATGGTAAAGTGCCCACTGATGCCTCGTCTCCAGAAAGCAGATTACTGCCGAAGGATTTAAAGTTTTAACCCTGTCACATTCGAGGAAGACAAATCAATGTCCCTGCAGACTCCAGCTCATACTTATGGTTTTATTTATGTATATCCAAGGATGAGCCACACAAAGCTTCAGGAACGATTTCTACCATCTCACCATGAGCASCAGATGCATTGAGATAATTACAACTAAAATCACTTTGAGTGTTTTTAATGCAATTCTGATGACGAAAACTGGCAAAAATAAATCACCTTTTGAAGGAAAAGTGCAGAAAACAAATGGGACACGGAAAAACCCGAACGCTAATATGATGAAGTGCGAGCAACGTTCAGGAACCAACAAGTAAGACGAATCGATTAAAGAGACAGAATTAGTCCAATAATTTGATTTTCAAAGACTTTTCCAGCACTTCCAAGCAGCCAAGCAACTAAATTAAATGAATTATTTATGAAAAAACTCGGACAGAGTTAGATTTGGTCAACAAAATTGAATGCAGAAACATAAAGATAGAAAATACTGTTTTCAGAATAGATGGGGGATTTGTGTAGGGGGGGGGGAAGGGAGGGGGTGGGTCACTGAAGGTCAAGATTCAATATTTGTGCCCAAGAGGCACCAACTGAGCGAGAAGAGAAAACGGTAGGGGGAAAAAAAAGAAAAGAAAAACGCATAAAAAGACGACATTGAACTCTTACCTTTCTACCCTCGAGGAACTTGAGAGCCGTACCGATGTTGGCGACCCAGTGGATCCTCTTTAGCTTCTTGCCCTGCTCACATGGCTGCGAGAAAACAAACAAACAATGGATATGAAAGAAAGCAATCAGACCGACAGGAAAACTGAAGGAGATTTATTTTAGATGCATGAATAAAATAATATATACATAGATGTATTTCCAAAAATCTCACAGCCGAGGTGAAATCTATTCTCCGGATTCTGAAATAACATGAGAAAGTTACAAGGGGTCCAATCAAGGCTGTGTTTGACTACAAACAGCCAGATCAATAGGACGTACACGATTCAGACCTCAGGCAAAACTGGCCGAGTTAAATCCCAGAGATGTGTGTGTGCCTGTGTGTGTGTGTGTGAACTCTGATCTGTCTTTGTTAATCTGGGCTTTCCCCCACAATTCAAACATCCTAATACAAGCAAATCAATGAGCCTTTCCATGTAATTGAGGCTCATTTCACATTCACTATTAATTCTTCAGCTCCACTGAAACTGACGGTTGCTGTACAAAGGATGAGAAATTCCTGTTTTCTCTATAGTCGGATTGGAAAAAGACACGCTGCAGCCGTTTTGGTGAAACTGAGTTTTGAAACAATCTGTAACTGAGAGCAGAGAGAACGGAGTTGTTTGAGTCACAGGACKAAAGAAATCACCAGTTTTTGTCCAGAGAGGACTTCCAGGAGAGCCAACAGCATCGCACCATCCTTGATGTCTTCAAACAGGTCTTTCACTTCAAGAGGAGGGACACACTGTGAAGACAAACAAAGACACAAATGAACCGTTGSTGACAATTCTTAKTCATCCAGGTCATGAAAAAAAAAGGTTAAAAAACAAAACAAGTGGATTCTGTCCTAACGAGGCCTCTCCAGATGGTCTGCAAAGCTCAGAGCTCCACACTTCTCCAGACTTCCTGAGCAGGAACCAAAACGTCTTCAGCTTCAGAACTGAWGTCCAGTTGTTTTGTGTTCTCAAACGATTTTTTTTTGACAAATGAAATGTTAGACCACATTAAAGAGATAGTTCAAATCTTTTTTTAGCAGGGATTTGTGGAAAATGGTGTAGAAAGCTGTTTGAAACAACCTCAGCTTTGGKGAAACAGTCGAACCATGACTGCTGTTGTATTAAAGGGGCAATATTATGTGTTTCTCAGACATATATTTAAATACTATACCATAATAAAGTATCTATGTCAGCTGTAGTTGTTATTAAAATGCTGTTTTTATGTTTAAATAGAAAATAAACTTAT